TACTATTATACCACATTCTTATAGATTTACTACGTGGCCAAATCCGGAATAATTCTTGTAATTGTCACCCATTTTGTGTAATAATTATAATTATTCGTAAAGGTGGTATAATATTATTATGCGTAGGAAGAAAGTGTAATAGTCAAAATTATTGTTATAATATTGAAAGAAAAACCATAATATATTATTATACCACATTCTTATAGATTTACTACGTAGCCAAATCAGGAATAATTCTTGTTATTGTCACCCATTTTGTGTAATAATTATAATTATTCGTGTAAAGGTGGTATAATATTATTATGCGTAGAAAGAAAGAGCATAAAACTTATTTGCTACCTTTCATAATGTTAACTGTTCCAACTTGAAATAATCCGATTTCACGAGAATTATTTTTTAATATAATTCCCTGGGTATGTGCTCGTGGAACCTCGCAAATATCATAATATTAATCTTTTGAGGATAAAAATACAATTCTTTCTTCATGATTATTCTATTATGAAGTTTTTTGTGCACATTGTTGGAATCTTCACCCCCCCCCTACACACACACACCTTGTATAAATATTACGAATTATATTTCAGGTTGTACCTCCGTGGAAGCAGAGAAAATTAAATTTGTTAGATCTGCGCTAGAACGTATTCTCCAGGTAAAAAACATCACTTATTTCCGAAGAAATTTTCAGCTTTTCTTTTGCATTGTGACGGTCGTTCAACAAGATATTCCCTTTTTTAAAATTATTTGTTAAACTAAGAAACGGATAAGTTATAATTCAAGTTTTTGTTAAAGTTATATATTGGTATTATTATTATTTTCATTGTGGCAGAATTGTAAAATGTGACATTCCCTAAAAAAGTTGGATTTTTCTACAAAACCATCGGGCCGAAAACTTATGGAATAGAAAGGAATTGAACTTCCAGACTGGGTAAAGGCAACCACGGAATTTTGTGATTTGATTTGATGGGATATTTTGTTTAGGGACGGTTAGTAGGAGAGGAGAAGGGAACTTTCAATCCAAACTCAGCTCATGGAAAAGTTCTCACTCTTCTGGTGAGAATCCTGGAGTCGGATACTCAGAACTGATCTCTCCAACCTCCCGGAGTTGATCGTTCAGCTGTCCAACCTCTGGGAGTTAATTGTTCAGTTGTTCAACCTCCGAGAGTTAATCGTTCACCTGTCCAACCTCCTGGAGTATCGTTCAGCTGCTCAACCTCCCGGATTTAATCGTTAAGATGTTCAATCTCCCGGAGTATCATTCGGCTGTCCAACCTCCCGGAGTTGTTCAGCTGTCCATCCTTCCTGAGTTAATTGTTCAGCTGTCCAACCTCCCGGAGTTAATCGTTCAGCTGTCCAACCTCCTGGAGTATCGTTCAGCTGCTCAACCTAACGGAGTTAATCGTTCAGCTGTCCAACCTCCCGGAGTTAATTGTTCAGCTGTCCAACCTCCCGGAGTTTATCGTTGACTTTCCAACCTCCTGGAGTTCGTCGTTCAGCTGTTCAACCTCTCGGAGTTTGTCGTTCAGCTGTCCAACCTCCCTGGGTTCGTCGTTCAGCTCTTCAAACTCCTGGAGTTTATCGTCTAACTGTTCAACCTCCTAGAGTTTATGTTCATGTCCAACCTCCCGGAGTTCGACGTTCAGCTTTTCAAACTCTTGGGAGTTTTCGAATTTATAAGGCTACTAATTTTTTTGTTAATCCAAAGTTTTTTTGTGATTTTTTTATTTGTTAAAATTTATGCATCTGTTATGTCAATAAAACCCCATATTATGTGTCCCTTATGTAGTTTTTTATAGATATGTAACACTATCGCAAGAAGCAGTTAAAAAAGATGTGAAAGAGATATGAGCAGTGCGTATTTCAGGGTCATTAGTTCCAAATCTGATCCAATCTTTTTAAAGAGTATATCTTTCCATCCAAGCCTGAAAAGAAAATTACGGTATATATTTATTAAAACTGGAAACACTCTAAAATGTAACCGAGACTGTGAACTAACAGTTAAAAGGAGTGGAAAATAATTTTTGACTAACAGACAGACAAAGGAAAAGTGTAATATAAGTTGTTGCACTCCGCTACAAAGGAACTGAGCTTTTGTCACAAACTCAAATTGTCTAATCCCTAAGCAAAAAAAGCAACTTATTTTAAATTAATGTTCTTGCAATGAGAAATGCAGGAAATTGCTGTATTTAAATGCTGAAAAATACAGCATATGTACATTGTACAATGAACGTTCTTTAAATTAACAATTGAAATGTGAAACAAATCTTTGAAATAATTTAGAAGTCAATTTATTTTTTTCACAAATTTGTTTCAGTAATTTTATTATAATTTATAATGAAAAGTTTCGGTTTGAATTGCAGATTTTACTCTAAACGGGAGTTGCTTTAAAAGTGAGCTTTGTGCTGAAAACGAGACACGACTACAATTCGGGATTTGTTTGAAAATGGAAAAACAGGCACTGCCTTGAAAAAAGGTCAATGTGTGACTAATAACAATCTTTGGTTCTTAAACCTCTATCAAAGATAAAAGTATCATTATAAAAAGGTTGTTCTGTTATTACTTGTATTTTTACAGGGTTACCCGAATTGAATGAGACTGTAAATTGACGACCTAAAACTTTATACGATAACTCAAAGGTTAAATTAAGTCTTTAACATCGAAGATAGTCTTTTCATGGCCTATTTAATGACTTCGCAGAGAAAGAAACAAGTTTGTTCATAAATGTGAGGAAACAGAAAGTAACAATTTCGTACAGTTGTCTTTGAAGTCTTGTTATTTGTGGTTAATCCCTGAAAAGTAAAAATATTTGGCTTGTCCATTTGTAACTACAGGTTATGGCCGGTCACAATTTAAAGTCCTGCAAAAATGTTCGACTGAAAAAATTCGCAAAACTTAAAGAAAAGTTTTTTTTGGCAACTCCAAGGTAATGGCCAGTCACAATTTAAAAAGTCTTAAAAAAATGTTTGACTCAAAAAATTTGCAAAACTTTTCTTGTCAGGGTTTGTTGTTGATTCATAGCTGTAAACCTTTTTTATTTATGTTCATGTATTCTTTCACACAGTATACTAAATGTTTTCATTCTTATCTATTTTATTACTAATATCCATCGCAGAAGATCGATTTTAATTTAATGGTTTTGAACGGTTTCAGACTGTCAATAAGGAAACATCTTTTGTAGATAACCCTGCATCCTGTAGAAACCTAATTTTTAGATATTTAATGAATTACTTTGCTATATTGTGGATCGACCTTCTCATTCTTTTTTCCAAGGACTTGAGAAAATTTGGACTTTTTTCCCAAAGTTTTTATTTCCAGGTTTTTTTTTCCAGAAACTTTTTTCCCGGGACTTTCTTAAATAGATTCAGGGTGTACTGCCATGTTATTCCACACAGGGTTCTTTTCACCCACAAGAAACTGGTGTGTTGTATAAGAACCTGACTGTTCTAAGCTCTCTTGATGCTTACACATAGAACCAGATTCAATCGAGAGAATTAACGTCTTAACAGCTAACCTGGCTTGTTATTAAGGAGTATATTTAAAGCTGCCAGTAGCCAAGTCTGGATTCAGCTTGGTAAAAACCCTCCATTTTACAGGTTAATACAGCGTTAAAAGATAAATGCAGGCTTTCAATCTCTCTTGTAGTTCTATTTATTTCTTTTCCATTTGTGTGTAAGGGGGTATACGGGGTTATACAACACTGGCTAAAGTTTTTCTAGATTGCCATTTTCTCTCTCTCACCCTTTATCTCTGAGTACTTATAGAAGCGCCGAGTCAGAGCCAGTTTGCTGGTCTGAAAGCTAGATGTATATTAAGTATACTGGACTTTTCTATTGTGTTCTGTATGTTTTGAGAAAGGTTGTATAACAAGGTTGGTTGCTCTCGACGCGCTCCAATGTACGGAAAATGTCGTCTCCTAAGATAGATAGATGAATATCCAATATGACGTCACTCTCGTCACTATGAGATCTATAATCAGTGACGTCATATTGGGTTTTTATCTATCTGTCTTAGGAGACGACATTGCCCGTACATTGGAGCGCATCGATAGTAACTTACCTTATCATACAACCTTGGTCTGAAGACTTGTGAATACTGAAAAGAGTTCAAAGGATTGTGCACTTTGTAAACACAAGGTTTTGGTAAAAATATATTAAATATTACTCGGGACACTTCTTTGACAAAAAGTTCGTTTGTGAAACACTCGAAATTTAAAACCTGCAAGGGCAAAATGACGAGGAATTATTTTTCATCATAGAATTAGTATTACCAGTGGCCACTTTTTTCAATATTCTTTGATCGCTTCAACATAAATTTAAGATTTATCTTATGGTATACTCTGTATTATTAAATATCCATGGTATACCAATTACTTCATGTCATTTAGTTAAGTGTTACATCCGACTTCTTAGTTATTCTCTTATTATTTTATTTTTAATCAGTATGATAAAAAATGTTTTCTCTTGTTGTTGAATTTTCCAAATTACGAATAAACAAACCATGTCATTACATTATTGAAATCTTTAAATATTCTTTTTGTCATTAATTAAAAGATATATTTAAATCCTTCTGATGAAATATCTGAATAATATTACTTTTAGCATGTTTAAATGCATATGCGTGAATGTGTGTGCAACCATTATACAATCCCTTTATATCTGTCCCTAAGATTCTTTTTCAAATAGTTGCTAAGCAAAATCTGGGCAGGGATGGTCTTAAAAGATTAATATATATAATTAATTGGAAATATTAAAAATAATGAAAAACAACAAAAACTAAAATGCAGTACATTATTCTGAAATAATTGTATATTGTACTATATGTACAAGGAGGCCCTGAGTATTGATTCTGGAACCTGTATCCTGTATCCTCCAGCCTCCGTCCTGCACCAACTTCCCGTTNAGCCAAGGATGGAGTAGGTGGTGAGGATGACTGTGTGTGAGAGTGAGGAGAACCGAAGGAAGGCTGCCTGGTTAGTGCCTGGGTACATCCTTCTAGCCTGGTTCCTCTGTGTCGTCTTCCAACCTCTTGGTTTCACTAATGTGCCCGGTAAAGGGAATAATAACGATCTCAACGATGAGAGCTTGTATGATATCATCAACCTACAGGACGATCCCCAGGTAGATAAACATCTGTATAATTTAAAGAAAGAACGGAGACGAAATAATGTTAGTTATTGATTGTCATTGTACATTAATACAGGGAACATTAGTTCCAATACTAACACTTGGCCTATTTCTAACACTGAGTGTTAGAAATGGGCACAAATTTAAAGACTGGGTTTTTGGGATCCCGGCCCATATCCAGAGTAAAAGTCAATGATAAAAACTATACCCAACATTTTATTTATCATGACGAGAAAAACAATTTCTAATTTAAACCTTTTTTTAAAAAATCAAAATTATAATAGGAGTTCTTTTTATATTAAATCTCTTGACCGTTTTCAAGAATGTGTCAGGTTTTCATTTTCATACATATCCTGAATTTGTAAACATAATCGCGTTTTCGAGACAAAACCCACTTTCCAGTTTTGGAGTTTAATCCACAATTCAAAACAAAACTCAAGCATTTCAAACTAACAGTTTCCCGCATTTCTAGTTAAATCGATATTGAAAGAACAAATGATATTAATATTTTGATATCTCAATGCTGTAATGATTTTTAAATTATAAAAGAACAGTCTGTTTTTATTTTCTATTTTTTTATATTCTACCCAATGAGAATAGAATATATATTAGAGTGGAATTTAGAAAATCTCTCCGTATGAATTTTGTCAGTCCCTTTTTGCCTGAAAGGGAGTTCAAAGTGTACAAATCATGTAAATATTCACAAATTATATGCGGCAAAGTATGTTCCCTAGACTATCCATTTCAATTTCGAATTTTTTAAAGCTGTTAAATAAATTTTATGAAATGAATTAGGTGAATAAAAAATTAGTTTAATATTGACATTTATTGTTTCAATACATAATTTTTGCCATTTTTTATAATTATATGGTGTAGTTTTGTTCTACTCGTCTTGGATTTAAAGATATATACTCTTGAAAAAGATCACTTTGCAGATTTGGCCCATTTCTAACACTCAGTGTTAGAAATGGACCAAATGTTAGTTTTGGAACTAATACTCCCTGTAATAGTCACAAACTGGGTTAATGCATACCAAGTAGATCTGTCTACATTAACTAAACCAAGTGCGCTTGGAGTGGACTACATGAAAAATACTTTGTACTTGGGATTCTTAATATTATTTAGAACGAAAGAATAGTTTCATTTTAAAAGCCTCAATTATTTGGATAACACTTTGTGTCTATTCAAGTATCATTAATTAAACTGCATGTAAGAATCATTAATTAAACTGCATGTAAGATTGATATCTTAAATGTTTTTAATCATAAATCCTTTTATTAAAGAGCTATTCGTAAGAACAAAAAAGTTTTGAATTTCTAGTATGTAACCAGATAAACTTTCTTTTGTCAGACTTGCCGGCAGAGGCGCAACTAGGACTTTTGCTAGGGGGGGGCAATATATTAATTTGTTAGGGTTTGGGGGGGGGTAAAGGG